ACCTGGCTCCCTAGTATGTATGAAACCTCCTGTTTGTATTTTGCTGTTAACAGTGAAGATGTGCTATTGCTTGTACAGTTCAGGGGCTGAAGTTACTCAGCATTCATTGAGGTGAATTGTTCAAAGCTAAGGTGCTCTACAGCACAAATTCATTTTCGGCTAGTAAAATCAAAATGCCGTATTTAATGCCTTCAGAGAATTTTGAGTTAGTACTGCTGAGCCTGAGTCACTCCAGCAATAGTGGGACAGTTGCAGTGACTCAGGATGTGTTACTTTCATTACTGTTGATGATAATGGAATTCTCAGGGGTAGAATTAAAAAAACCCATGTGTTTTATTGGTGGGCTTATCTTTTAATTATCAGGTTTTTTGTATTCTTTAGGGATTAAGAATCATAAACAATTAACAGTTTCCTTAGAGTTTTCTGCAGAATAGATGCTGCATTTACAGTTCCCTGTGGTGGTTGTAAGACAGCAGAGCCTGTTTCCCTTAGATGTTTAGCTGCAGTGAAGTTTTATATTTCCTTCTTTTAAAGACAAAACTATTCCTAAATTGTGACCAGTTAATTTTGAATTTGAGATCTTTTTTTAATGGTAATGTAAATTTTAGAATTATGACCACTGATTTTAAAGCTTCAGTACTTTATTCTGCTGTTTTTATTACTCAATTGAATTTTAAACTGACCTAGTGATCTGAATAAAGGATATATTATAATGTTGTGCCAGTAAATTTCTACAGAATATATATGTGAAATGAAATAACAGTAGAACTGATTTCTTTTAAACTGCCTTTTAGGTAATAAGCCTCCTTTTTCTCCATGAGTAGGATATTTTCTGCCACTTGCTGAACATATTTATGCTTAAGTATCCTTCTAAATAAAGAGTAGAAATACCAGGCATTTTAACACTAAAGCTTTGCAATGTGGTCACATTCAGCAGGCATCCTTTTGATTTTTTTTTTTTCCCCCAGATAGGCTGAATGTTTCTTACGGTGCAGTTGTACTTCAAAATTCAGTAGAACTTAAAAAAGATATTAATATGTGGAAACAGCATTTTAATACTTACTAGCTTAATTCTTTTAAAGGTGGCGGTTTCGGTTTTAGTTTACTCAAGCTGTAAGAACAAAACTACATAGTTACGCTCTTTTATGGTGATACTGCAGGTATATTTGTTCTTGTCATTGAAGTCCACTGGAGGTGGTGTTGCAGCTATCCATTTTTTTTACATTTATGCCTTTGATGTTAATGTTGTCCCTCTGTGGAAATGACATTTTTACACAAGGTTATGCAGTTTGCATGTGACTACGATTAACACTGCTATTTCCAGCAGCCGTGTACAAAATGAGTTGTCTTATTCTTACTGCTCTCACAACTGCCTGTTTATTAGAGGGGAGTACTACTGTGTTGAAGATGCCAGCCTACTTAAGTGCAGGAAAGTATGAACATATTGGTATGAAAAAAAGATGGCAGATTGACCAGCTTTTCTAAGCCTCCTGCTAGATGGAGGAGCTGCTGAAGTTACTTAATGTCTCATTCCCAGGCAGCAGAGAAAGCAGACAGGTTTTCCCAACAGGACCTCTCTGTTAGAAGGAAGAAATTTAGTTGAATTATGCTTTGAGTCTTACTGTGCCCTTAAAACACAAGCTGCTAAGTGGGCAATTTTGTAACTTACAGTTGGCTGTGGAAGATGTTTATAAACAGGGTGTTTTTTCACTTTTTTTCCTTCTTGTTTGCTTTTTCGTGTCTTTTCATTGTACACCTCTTTATCTTCAGAGAAGGAAATTGCCCATATCCGAAGCCATGGGGAAGCACTTTGGGCCGTGTTGTGATTCTAAACAGACTATTGGCAAAATATTTTTGAAAGTTTTGTAAAATAAGCTTGGTCACTCTGTTTGGCCTTCCTTTTGGCTTCATAACACTTTGTAAAGTTTTATTGCTCCCTTTGAAAACTATTCCCCCAATTCCCTTGGCTCCCAAGGAATTACACTAAGTTTTATAAAGAAAATCTCGCTTGGCTCAAAGGTAGAAGTAGGATTTTCCTACTTCTGTTAGTGGAAAAGCTGGTACTAATGGTGTAATGAGTAACCATGGCGTGTACCAGTCTCAGTGTAGAACAGATGCTAGAGTGGGTTAGGAATTGGTTATTACTTTGTGTCTCAACTGTGCATGCACAATTCAGAGAATTTAAGTTTTGCAAGTCTTTGGTTATTTTTTCAGGTTCTGGAGGAGAGTGTAGTGCGGTGCTAAAAATGTGCTTTATCCCTAAATTATAATTTCTTTTCCTTCTTTTTACCATGCTTATATTTCCTCTAAACTGCTTGGGTAGGTGGAGGACAGGGCAGAGGCCACTTGCTTTCGGTTCCTGCACGCAGCACCCGGGCAGAGCAAACGAGCGAGTGGTTAATTCCCCTGGAGGCCACTTGCTTTCGATTCCTGCACGCAGCACCCGGACAGAGCAAACGAGCGAGTGGTTAATTCCCCACAGCCCCGGGTTGCTGTAAGGGCAGAACAAGGTTGGGCATGGGATCTCTGGATCTCAGTTTTTTAACTGCCTTTTAATGTGAGAACATTAATTTTCAGAGACTTCCTATTTCATCCACTGTTTTGAGGAGACCAAATGCTATGTTCTTAAACTCCTCTATCAAATTTCAGCATTAAAGCAATGATTGTAAAAGAGTTAACATACGCAACTAAAAGTGTGTTCTTCCAGTTTTGTTCTAGGAAACAGCCGCAGTATTTTTTTCTAAAAATTTCCAGAGCAAGTCTGCCATCTGGTGTGTAGAATTTTAGTCCAGACTTAATTTGGCAAAAATTTGATCAATTAAAAATAGTCGTACAATCTTAAATGCAAAGCAGGCTTCATTGTAGACAGTGCTACCAGAAATGCTTGTAATAATACCAGTTGTATGGTAGCATTTCTCGTTATACTGAGTTCTCCTTCAAATACCTTGAAATCTAAGAAGATAAGCAACAGGGCAATGAGAATAACCTTTAGACTGACCCATTTTGCTCCGTATTCTGTCGGTGGTAATGCTTGTAACAGTAGCAGTTCTGTGGTAGCACTTCTCATGAAATAAGGATCTCTCCAAACGCCTTGAAAACTAAGTAGATGAGCACATAGAGAATAACCTTTAGTCCAATCCATTTTGGTTCATATTTGTATCCAGTAGTGGCCACGAGCTGTTGCTAGCTAAGGCAGATAGAGGGTAAAATTACTTTTAGCTGAGGGAATTTCCCTGTATGTTTTTCTATCAGCAGCATTGGAAATCTCTGTGCTGGAAAGCAGACTGGGCTTATATTAAATAGCTGCTCGTGGAGTGGTCCATAACTCCCCTATCCACCATAAATTTGTGTAATTTGATTTGAAATCCATTTATACTTTTGATCCCTATAATACTTTATCATCATGAGTTGCACAGTTTAATTATGTGCTTTATACCATAATGGTTTCTTGTTTTCGGGCTTCATGCAACTTGTTTTACTCTGAGGTGAAAAATAGGGGATTGTTGTTCCCTATTCCCACCTTGTTTTGGCCATGTATGAATTTGTGCTCAGCATTGGCTCTTTCTCTTCCAGACAAGGAAGTTTTAGGTTTTTGTTATATGGAAGCTTTTTAATGCCTTTAGTTGTTGTCCTCCCTACTCTTTCTTTCCTGTTTGTGTCAGATCCTGTATCTTTTCCCCTCTTTTATCTTGCCGAATCCATGTAATTGCCCTTTTACTGAAATCTGCTCTCACCCACTCGGTTTCGTTCTTCCTCCTCATTAACTGTGTTCAGATTTTGTCGATTAATCTCCCACTTTTTCTCTTCTCTGTTTTGAAAGGTTATTGCTAACAGTGTGTTGTCTTTGAATCCCATGAAAAATCTCTTGGACAGGACCTGATAATATGAGAGATTAAAAAGGTAGTGATGGATAGGGGAAAGTGTGTGTTTCAGGTAGGAATACAGCAATTCAAAGACTTGCAGGTATTTAGTGTGAGGTGGAGGAAACAAGTACATATGTTTTAAATGCTTAACTACAGTTTTGTTTTATTTAGGATGTTTGAGTTGCATTTTTTTCAGGGTGGCACTTCACAGCTGTGAAAGCTGGATTCATTAAAAATTAATGAGGATTCTTGCATAACCCAGAGATTTGGGGCTATATAAGCACTCCAAATATTGAAGGCAATACTGTTGTTAAGTGCCATGTCCCTCAGGAGTGCTGTGGATGCCAGCCCACAAGCACTCCATCTCTTAAAAATTTGAGCTCTTTGGGGCTGAGGATGGGCAAGAGTTCAATGGCGTCAATGCTGAAGTGTATCTCCTTCATTTTGCTTTTGGGAGCCTACTAATAGGCTTGCATTTTAAATAAATGACTGTAAGGTACATACTGGTTAAAGTACAGGGTGGTGGTGGTGTTGTTGTTTTTAAGTATTATACGTGTTTAAAGCTGAACAAACATTTCTCTGGATTCTTCAGGTTGCACAGATACCTTGTGTTTTTTTTATCAATCTTGGTAGTTTTATTAGTTTGGTAGGAACATAATTTTAGGACACATTTTGTGACCTAGAGGAAAGAAAAAATAAGATGTTACTGTGAAGTTTCTTCTGGGCTACTCAAGAATTCATTAAAATATGGGGAAGACTTGCTGTGTCCCAGAGTAATACATTTGTGGGAGATGTACCCCTAGCTTATTTCTGGTATGTACTAAATGTTTTCTTTGTTTTTTTTCTTAATAAGAGAAGGAAGGAATGGAAGAAATGTTGATCCTTGCATTTAAAAAAGAAAGTTTTTAAAATTCCATATTTATGTAGTGAGAGCAAATTTGTATTTTAGCTTTATCAAGCTGTTGTGATTATCTTACGGTTTAGCTGGGTATCCAGACATTAAACTGGTAAAGAATCAAAAGAAAGTAAGATGCAGAATTTGTATTAATTAGGAACTGTCCTCTGAATGGTGGTGAAGAACTCACTTTGAATTCATGGTGCAATTTTTTAAAAAAAACTTCTTTTCTTCTTTCACAGGAAAGATGATAAAGATTATGCTTTAAAGCAAATAGAAGGTACTGGAATTTCTATGTCTGCATGCAGAGAAATAGCAGTAAGTAACATTAGTTCTTTCTACTAGCAAACAGACTTATTACAAGTATTAATTTGAGTGCATGCTGGTTTTTGTTTGCTGAATTATGTTATTCTACTATGGGTGCTATATTTTTATCATGGAGGTATAAAGTAAGTACAAATGTCATGGAAGATTTTGTGCACCTGTTATGTTTGCTGTCTAAAAATGACGGTGTTTTTAAGTTACAATTTACTGCCTGCCTTGGAGCAGATTAACTTTAAATGCAGCAGTTTAAAAACATGATTAGAGTCAGTGGCTTAAATTATGTATTTGATCTGACTTTTGCATTAGTACTTCAATTATTTTCCTAAAGAGATTAGTTCTTATTGGCTCATAGTGATTAAAACATGTTAGCTTCTATTTAAGTGAAGACTTCAAACTAAACTGGCATTGTTGTTGCCTCGGAGGCTGTAATACACCCATGAATATTACTCAAACATTTTCTTAGGTTATTCAGATTTATATTTGTATATTCCTTGTTGTTAGAAACTGGTAAATAATGTGGCCTGGTTGTGGTTTGTGATAACTTCCAAAGAAATACTGGTAACACTGGTATTCTGAAGTTTAACTGTTGTATGTTCTTATGTTATACTGCTGCTTGGGTTTATTTTTCTTAACATGTTTCAACTGAAATTGCTAACTAAGAGAAAATGCATGTAACTTACGTGTGTGGGGGGGAAGCAAATAGTTTATTTTCAGTCCTTGTTCCTCAAGAGTGTAAAACTGTATCTACCCTAATTTCCTTTTTATTGATTGAAGTGATTTCCAGGCTTTCCTACTTTGTCAACTTCCAGTTGGCTTTGTGATTTCAAACATGTTAGTCCTTGAACCGAGTGAGGTGAAAAAAAATGAAGTGCAAAGAACATTCTTCAGGAGAAGCTCTTCCTGTCCATTGATGACAGCTGAGCCTCCCTGCTGTTGTAGACACCCACACTGAACTAAAGGAGCTGAAAATGGGGTCTTAAATTTTTGCGTATTTCGTCCATTTTGGCAGAAGTTTTCCAGATACTGTGACTCCCTCAGGCTGAACGCTTTTGGGAAGTGTCAGCTACCATTTCAGAGGGATTTGGAATAATTTTTTGTTCGTCTTTTTGCAGTGATTTACCTAAAGAGTTTTGAAGAATTTTTTCTGCTTGAATTTGGCAGGAGACACTTGGCTGGTGTTAGGGAGGTGTCTCTGCTCTGGATATGACCCTCACTCAATTTCTATCTATTAAAAGAGAATCACTAACTTGGCTGACAGCCGGAAAGGGTTTGCCCTCATTGCCTGACTTGGAGTGTTGTGTGGTTATTCCTCTTGGGCCGCAGCGTCCTCGGTAGTGATGGAAGAGGAGCAAGAAGTAGGGAGGCCTTCTCCTTGCTGCTGCAGCGTGTGCCCTTCAAAGAGAACAGCAGTACGACGCAGGACCCACGTGGGAGAGGGTTAATGGGGGAAGAAGGGGAATGTACTGAAGACACCAAAGATATTAAGAAAGCAGGCATTGAGAGCTAAGAGCAGAGTGGAGCCCAAAAGCAGGTGTAGGGGTAGAAAGAGTAACCTGAAGCAGCATTTCTTGAGCTGTTGTTGACTATGCTTACGGCTATGCTTCCGGGCTTGCGACTGCTGATACTGTGGTTGAATTGTCCTGCAATTGAATTAATAATTCACCATGGATTTCTAAGGCTTGAATCTCTTTTCCTTACCATTCTTTTGATATTGCTATTTGGAGTTAACAGGAGAATTTTTTCCCCAAAATGTGTTGTTCATTTTAATTCTGTTAAATAGAATTTTTTTCCCCTTTCTATCAATTAATATTGTTAAAGGAAAAAAAGGAACCTCATATGGAGATGGATCAATGTGAGGATAATAGCCATACTGTTTATATCAATTATGTGAGTATGTGTAATGTGTATATGAAAATGCTACTGAGTTAATCAGCAGTGTTGTACCCTAAAATGTCATCTGTACATCTAATTAATAAAATTACTTGTTGTCGTACTTAAAAAGTCAAGGCTGAATGCCAGACTTTGTTACAGTGTGTTCTGGACTATCCCAATTAATGCATTTTATGAGCATGGTGGTATTAAAAGGAACTTGGATGACTTGGTTGGCATATGAGATGTATCCATTTCAGTTTCTCTGGAGAGCTGAAGCTTGTATGTTTTACTCTGTGACTACCTGGGAAGAGTGTAGTTTGATATAAATCCAGTGAAACTCTCCCTTGTTTTTATAACTCTACAATGGTTTTTGTCTTGTTTATGATGACTAACTTGAGTTTTGGCCTATTGAGTAACTTACATGTTTAAAAATGTCCATAGCTTCTAAGATGTCTATTTGATGCAGACACCTGAGCTGAAGAACAGTGTCAGATCTTCAGAAAAATAAAATAATTATTGAAATGCAACAATTACGGGGAAAGGCTTGAACTAGGTCAGAGACCTGAGTTGAAACAGCTGACTCAGTTATGGGATGAGCTCAGCCTCTATATGTATATGAAAGACTTTCTACCTTTCAGTACTTCTGCAGCATGAGAAGTTAGACCTAATGTTCAAGAACCTTGCTAGTCTCTTACTCTGTTGAAATAAGTTTTTTTCAATGATTTTATGTAAACCAATTGATTAACTGGTAGAATTAACAGGTATTGTGCTAATTATAATACTTGAATCAGTATCTTTAATATCAAGATAGTTGTAGTGTTACATTCTTCCTTATCTTTCCCCCATTCATCCACCAGAGTAAGCATTTGTGAATCCTGCCTCTTCCAGAACCTTAACTGAACATTTGGCTGCTCATCTCTTGTTCTCTGCAGATGTGTGCACTGCCTGGAATTCCGGGTATCTTTTTTGTGATCTGTACTTGCACTTCTGAGGATTTAGGCACTAAAAACTGCATGCTTATCATACCAAGAGGTGGATTTGTGTTAAATGGGAGAGCAGAGGGATAGAATGGTGAGAAGATTTGTATAAAAATATACAAAACATACAAGCCCGAACACTCAATTTCTCATCTCCTGATGTAATCACAAGGAAGGAAGTTGTTGAAGCCTATCACCTGGAATAGTGCAGCAACTGCTATTTCACAGTTCGCAAAGCAGGAGAATTCTTCAAGGCTGTAGGAAGCTGGAGTAGTTACCCAGGCTTCAAATAGAGCTTCAGGATTTTGGGTTGGGCAGTTTCCTACACAGGAGTCTTAAGTTTTAAAGAAATCAAGTGACTTTCTGACATTTTTCTTGTTGATTAGCATTTTTCTTTCAGTTTTAGCAGGCTTGCAAGTACTTCACTTGCCTATGCTTCCTTTGGCTACTGAGAAGTTGCTTGGGTGGTTGTTGGAGGTTTTTTTGTTTGTTTTGTGGTTGGTTGGTTTGGTTTTTTTTTCTTTTACTTTTTGCAGGACTTCCATGTAGCTTTGGTTTTTTGGTGCCTGGTTTGGTTGACAGAAATATCCCTGAAAAGCTTGTTTGTATGTAAAAACACCACATAGTATTTTTTACATGGTAGTATTACTTTGTGACTTGGCTCTGAAGAGGAACTGCTAGATATTGTGGCAGACACTTTCTGATGGAAATGCTGAATGGAACAAAGTAGAGCTGGGGTGGACAATGCTGTACTCTGGCTGTCTCCTGTCTGTGTGGTGTCCTTCAAGCACCATAGCCAGCTTGTACAAGTTAGAACAGCTTTGAGTCTACTGGAGCTGGGACAGAAAACTACAGAACAGTAAGTAGCTGGCTTCTCTGTTTCCACTCTTTAGGTCTGCCTTGGAGGCATTTGGGCATTCCTAGGATTTTGTGTTTCCTATTATAACAAATGCAGGCTGTCATCACAAAAGGTGATGTCCTCTGTGTTGGATGTAGTGATAGTGTGGCTGTAGGATGAGGAAGTTCATCTTCACCGAAGGGAAAATGAACAGTTTTGTTAGTTTTTTGTTATGTGAGCAAGCTGAGTTGAACCATCCTTTGGTCACACCGTTGCTTAACGTGGCTCACAGAAAGTGGTAGGAACCTGCAGGGGTGCTCTGGGTATAATGCAGACTTGTACCCTAATGTTCACATGTCTGAGCTTTAACAAAAGAAAGAGGAGTTTTGATTTTTGTCTCCCAGACAGGAGGCTCAGGGCCCCATACAGCTCTCCTTCCATGAGGAACTTGGCCGGGTTTTCAGGGAGCAGGCACATGGTACCCGGGCAGCGTGAGAATAAGCAGAGAGATGGCTGGGTGATGACTACTGCTCTTACCTGAAAGGGAAAGCCTCTGCAGGAGTCCTGCTGACCTCTGCAACTGCTTCGCCACCCTGGCTTTCAGCTTCTGGACTGGCAGGTGGCAGAGAGGTAGAGGCAGAGCTAGACCAGCAGGCCTGTGTCCTGGCAGGTGAGAAGGGAGCTGCCATTGACTAGTGGTCTTGGCCAAATTGACCTCAGTGGAGGAGGCTGCTGTAGAGGTGAATTGGTCCTCCTCACACACTGGGGCTTCCATGTCCTGGGTGACAAGAACATGTCATTATGTGATTATCAGGCTTCTTTCTCCTCTGCCAGTGGAGGGGATGGAAGAAGAGCTTAAGGGCTCTTTCAGAGCCGGTCTGAGGGTGACCAGGGACTCTTGAGGCAGCATGCAGCAGCTGGAGGGACCCCGTGAGGCAGAAGCTGAAACTGAGTGACTCCAGGATTCACTCTCCAACATCCTCCCCTGGTAAGGAAGTCCCAGTTAGCTTGCTGGAAGAGTCCTGTATCAGCTACGCGATAAGGAACGGTATTTGGGTGCAGGTTCCTCAGGTTATGGGGGCTATTATGTCCCTTCAACACTAACAATGAAAGCAGTTTTCCACAAGACCAAACACAGAAATCATTTAGATGAGGACAATCCTTATGTCAGAAGACAAGTAATGGTTTATTAGCAATCTTTCCATGTGATGAAAGGTGGCAAGGTATTGAGGAAGACAAATGTTTGATTTGACCCTCTTTGGCAAATCTAATTACTCTCAAATGCTTTAATTTAATAGTAGTATGGT